AGGGTTCATGAGGGAGAGGGGAGCGGGGAGGGAGGGGGAAAATGAGGAGCTGATGCCAGGAGCTTAGGTGGAGAGCAAATGCTTTGAGAATGATGAGGGTAATGAATGTGCAAATGTGCTTTATACAATTTATGTGTGTATGGATTGTGATGAGGTGTATGAAAAAAAAAAGTTGTATGAGCCCCAATAAAATGATTTTTTAAAAATCAGCTCAAATGAGAAAGGCATCAGAGTCAGGAAAGAAATCCCTAAATTATAGCTATGGTTTGAAATGTGTCCCCAAGGATAGGAATCTTAAACGAATCCCTTTCCTTGCAGGGTTTGGGGAAATGGACTTTCTTTGTTATGTTAACGAGGCACTGTCATGGTGGTGTTGTTAGGTGCCACCAGGTCTGTCCACACTCAGAGAGACCCCAAGTATAAAAGGGTCAAAACACTGCCCACCTGCGCCGTCCTGAACATGAAACATGATGTTGAAGCTCCTGGTTGCTGCCACTGTGTCAATCCATCCCTTTGAGGGTCTGCCATTTTTTTGTTACCAGACATGATGTCCTTATCTATGGGCTGATCCTTCCTGATAACAAAAGTATCTGACACAAAGCTTCTTCCTGATCCTTGTTTCTCATGACAATTCTCAGTGCATGTCCAAGTCCGATTTTTGGTTTTTGTGTTTGTTCTTCTGATCGTCCATGATAGACTCCATATTCTTTCATGAGCACCACAGTTTCAAAATCACCAGTTCCTCTCCGGTCTGCGTTACTCATTGCCCACGTCTCAGCGCATGTGAGGTGATTGAGAATATCACAGCTTGGGTTAGGCGCTCATCCGTTCTCAGAGTGACAGTTTTGCTCTTCTGCACTTTAAATGGACCCTGTGCAGGGATTTTTCCAATGGAATAAGGTATTCTGTTTCCTAACAGCTGCTTCCATGAACATTGACTGGAGATTCAAGGAAAATTAAGTTCTTGACAACTTTAATCTTTTCTCTATTTATCATGATCTTGATCATCAGTTAAGTTGTGAGGATTTTTGTTCTCTATCCACGATAGTCCTTATGAGAAGTGGTAGCCTTTAATCTGCATCACTCCGAGCTTCAAGTCCTCGTTGCTTTCAGCAAGCCAGGTGTGTCATCTTTATAGTGCAGGTTAACCCACCCTTCCTCTGATCTTAATGCCATCTTCTTCCTGTAGAATGTGTTCTAAATCAACTTCTTTGGGAGCTACAGAAGCAAACATCAGAGATGGGGAAAGAAGGTGCCAAGACAAGAATGTTGCTTTAGATCAGAATCACAGAAGAGAAAAGGATGTTTCTTTAAAGCCAAGACAGACCCTTCCAGTAGAGAATTCCACTCTGGCTTAAGATTCTAGGCTCCTAACTACAAACAAACAAAAAACGTTTATTAAAGCTGCCCACTGGTGGTATCTCCGTTCTAGCAATATTTGATCAAGAAGATCAAAACTCCAAAAAGCCAAACTCACTGGCACCAAGTTGCTCCTGACTCATAGCGACCCCTGTGGGCATCAGGTGCTGTAACTGTTCACAGGAGCAGAAAGCCCAGCCCTTCTCGGGAGGAGCTGCTGGTGGTTTTGAACTGCCAACGACGCAGATTGCAGCCCAACATGTAACCACTACTACACCCAGACAGCTGCGAAAAGTCAACTTATGTGCACAATGTATGCGACATTCCTCATTAATTCTTTATGGAGAATGTATGATTATTTCTTTTTTATGTGAATGGCTTATGATACTTGTGAATAAAAGAAGCTTTGAAAACAACCCTACTGATTGTGTGGGAAATTTGTAATTTTCGACAAAGAGCCTATCTGGAGAGGATGGTCTGGGGGCAGTAACCGATCCTCAAAGGAAGTGTCAGTGAGATTCTCCCTTTTGTTCTTATTTTCATTTTCATTATTAAAATAAAACTTTCAGGATTTGTGAATACCAATCTATTCTCTTACTAGTATTATAAAATTCTCAATGATATTTGTTTCATTTATTTAATATTTTTTCTCCTTTCACATCTATTTTTGCTAAGATCAAATCTAAAATTTTCAGAAAAAGATACAAATCACAATAATATTGCTTATCAAGGCATGAAAAATAAGGTGGATTCATGGATGGATAAATAAATATGTAATCGAGAATGGATAGGGATATGCTAAATGATAATATAGGAGTGGGGTATAAGTAATCAGTATAGAAATCTTCCAAGTTTCCTGTAAGCTTGAAAAAAATCACAAAACTTTGGGAAAAGGAGGCACGAATATGAAAACTATAGCGCTAGAAATTGGACGTAATTAAATAAATATGTAAGCATGAGATGGTTTCATTTTCTGCAAAGGTAGCCCGCCAGTACACAGTATGAAATCAAGAACAGGCTATAAAGACCAAAGCCTTGTATTAACTATTTATAGGTTAAAGATAAATGACAAAGACTAGCGGTATTTGTGTAGTCGAAAGTGCCCATTCATGTGGATATATCATTTATTGTCCCACCTTTGCAGAGGTGCTGTGCTTTGTCAGGATATGAATGTTCTGGACAGGTAAATGTCACCTGTGGATGCACATAAGACCATAGCTCTCCCTCTCACACAATCAAGAAGTCCACATGATACTGATTGGAAACATAATTACAGAAACCTATACGTTATCTGACTTAAACACTGAGATGCTTTAAAACCAACCAAATAACCATGGCAATAATTTGGGGTCTAATCAAAAGAAAGCATTCTGTTGTTTTTTTTCTGGTGGTTGGTCCATACTGTTTTAACTATTCATTTGCAATCAAATTAAAATTTTGAACTCTCATATGAATGACTGCCTTGGTTTGGGATGTATTAAATTAGGAGAATGCCTTTCCGTTCTCAGCACAAAAGAATGTAATTGTTGGTTGGCTTCATATGTACAAGCTGCTCTGCAAGGATTTCTCCTCGCATGCTGGTCTCCAGTCAGCACGAGACCCTTTCCCTGGAAATGTCCGTAACTGCAAAGCCACAGAGGCCAGAAAATGGCGTCCCTGCACTTCCACAACTTCTAAGCTGTCCTAGATCTCAGAAATCCTAGACAAGTTGCTATTGATCCTTAAAAAAAAAAGTTATTTACAAAGGAAGTCTATCTGCCAAGTTCCTTTAGAAGCAAGGTCGAATAACCAGTTGGAAAATGTTCTAAAAGTGTCATTAAACTTTAATAATACCTACATTTTTATGGGGCTTTTAACTTTGCAAATTGCTTCCACATGCATTATCTCATTTCATGTTCTATTGCATTGAAGCAGTGTCTCAGTTTTAAAGTTGAACTACAATGGCATGGATATCACAATATTGATGAGGAAATTGGAAGAAAATTGAATAGTCAGTCCTTGGGTTACAAACACCCAACTTAGGTAAAACCCATAATTATGAACCAGGCCTCATAAAGCCTCCTATATAGGGAAGCTTATCACAAGTTTGTGAAAAACCTCATTAATCTTTCCATTCCATTTTTTTCATGATCTTTTAGAAGCCGCCTTGTATTTAAATCCAAGGTTCTTAATAACAGACACTACTTAGTCTCTTGCACCAAAGCATTATTATTAATAGCAGCAGTAGGATGTTACAGATGTTTTGGTGTGTATTGAAGGGTTTCTTTAAGGTGTTTATGCATAGAAGGCACACTATACTCAAATACTTAAATGCTTAGTATACTAAGACAAACATTTGATTAGCCAACGTTAGATAGGAGCCATACCTATTGTTCAGACTTGCATACAAATTTGACTTAAAAGATGGAATTCTTTTGTAATCTGGGACTGCTTCAGTTGCTATACAAAAAAATTCCCTAAACTCATTGCCATCGAGTCATTTCTGGCCCATAACCATCCTTGATGACAGAGTAAACTGACCTTGTAGGTTTCCAGGGCCATAAACCAGTAGGAGAGCAGAAAGTTCCATCTTACTCCCACGGAGCAGTGGCTTCCACCAGCGGATCTTGTGGTTAGCCACACCGTGTGTGACCCACGGTGCTACTAGGGCAGAACAGAAGCGTGTGTACCAAGAGTCGACCATTTCCGACATCAAGCGTTGTTACCGTTTCCCCGAAAGTAAGACATCCCCCGAAAATACGACCTACTTACAGTTTTGCCTCTCCCTGAAAAAAAGACATCCCCCTGAAAATAAGACCTCCCCGAAAATAAGCCCCCCCCAACAATAAGGCCCCCCGGAGCAGACAAGAAGTGCGAGGTCTCTTTTAATAAAACAATAAACGTGTACCGTATTCTTCTTCATGGAAAAATAAGACATCCCCTGAAAATAAGGCCTAGCGCATCTTTGGGAGCACAAATTAATAGAAGACCCTCTTATTTTCGGGGAACCAGGGTAAGGGTTAAGATTCTGATGGAGCCTTGGGGGTGGCACCAACAGTTTTAATGCACGTGACTATTAACCAAAATGTTGGCCATCCAAAGACCCATTAGCAAAACTCTTCGTGGCCTAACCCTGAAAAATGAACCACTGAAAGCCCTCAAGATCACATAGTTCCTCTAATCTTTTGCTCCACTCTCAGGTTTAGCAGAGCCATTTAACCCTTTCTTTTCTTTCCTTTTTAAGGAGAATGCGATGCACCTCTTTCTTTCTCCTTCCTATTCATTCTTCTGGATTCTGATGATTGTTTCTTTCCAATAACTCTACAGGTCAGTCCAACCCCAGGCTGCATCCGTGCCCTCATGAAGATGCTGTACTGCCCGTACTGCCGCGGCCTTCCCGCTGTGCGACCCTGCAACACCTACTGTCTCAATGTCATGAAGGGCTGCTTGGCAAATCAGGCTGATCTGGACACCGAATGGAATCTATTCATAGGTAAGGCGTTTAATGCCTCTCTAACCCAGGTGTTGAAACAGCAAGTGCTTGCGATACTTGTTGAGCAGGCCTCAAGTGACCACGAGAAAGCTGGTTTTAGCAAACTGTGAACATTTATTTCAGTTTCTTCTTTGACGTTCTGAAAAGGAAGCCTTTGCTGTGTATTTGAAAGGGATAGTTGTGTGAAATGCCGCTCAAGCCGGCTGTATCGAGTGAGTTGGTTTTCTCTGGCAGGTTGCAGTGAAGAACGCTTACTGGATTTTAGCCAGTCCCTGGGAAAAGGTAGCAAGGAGTCTCATTAAGAAGCCACAGCACAACATAGGCCTCCATTTGTGTAAGCAGTAACGTCCTTCAGCTCACCTGATGAAAATACTGTTTTGCTGTATTTGTGTTCTCATTTTGTGGAGAAGGGTACTTCAAGCATGTGCACATGAAACACCCGCTTGTCTTTAGGGGCTGGTGAAAAAAAAGAGGTGGGGCAAATTTTCAGGGGGAGGTCTGTGAGTCCTGTCGTTGTTTTGAGTTGCAGAAATCACTTAGGGGGTTGTACTGCCAAAAGACATTTCTAAAATAGCTACCCAAGGATAAAAGGACACGTTTTATAAGCAGGCTTCTCCCCAGAAAATACACAGGCCTTGAAAGAGTAAATGTGTTTTCTTCCCCTGTCAAATGGCCTTCAAATAAAAGTACTTTCAGTGGCATTTGCGGCAATTACATGGTGACAAGCAGAGTGGTACAAATAACGGTGGTATTCGCCCCCCTCAGAGGACATTCATCAGGTATGCAAACCTTTCCACCAGACACACGAGGGAAGATGCCTCTCATCTAAGAATCAAGTAGGAGAGGAAAAATATCTCAGACGTGCTAGAATTCAGAGAAATCTGGACCCACAGTGTAGAGATGTGTTTAAGTTCTGCGTATTCCACTTGGCAAGGTGGCCCCATTGGTAACACCCTGTTATGTTTAAGAAGACCAGAGAAAATGGTTTTTACGTTTTCCAAAAAGTATTTTAGAGTGGGTTGACTCAAATGGAAATCATCTAAATCCCAGAAATGATTGCAGGGAGAATAAGACACAAGCTGTGTACTCATGGGCTTCTACCTTGCTTCTTTGGACCTTGTTTGTCTGATATTATAAAAGGAGGAAATGACCAAGTTAATCATGACGGTACCCTTTTAATTCAAAGATAGTGTGACTGCATTGGACCTGTCTGTCTGATATTATAAAATGAGGAAATTGCCAAGTTAATCATGATGGTACCCTTTAATTCAAAAATAGTGTGACTGTAGGCTAGGATCCTTATCTTGGCTAAGATTTTTGAAAGTGTGATTTTAAAAAAAAAGAAAAGGTAAATTTGATATAAAAAATCAGATACATTTAGATTAATTTTGACAGGCATGCTGCTTGAATAATGGTAATTTTTCTAATGAAGCACTCTCATTAAGAAATCTAGAAAATCACCATGGAGTTACTACAGTATATCCACTATTTGTTTATAGCAGCCAAATTCACAGTATAACTAGCAATGTATTGCTGAACAATGGCCATGAGAGTTTCGTTGTATAGAACAGGATGAAGACTGAGCGTATGGATTTCTTACATTGTAAAAGCAACTGCGACTTCTTTACTGGCTTCCCCTCCCCCTTGAAGTGCTCATGGGTTGTTTTAACGTAAATAAATTCTTACATCTTCAGTCAGTTTGGCTTCCCAGATGCCCATGTGGTGTGAAATAAATTATCCAGGAAATAATTTGATTTAAAAACAAAAGCTTGAGCAAACCATGTGTTAATTGTACTTTAATGAGAAGAGACAAGCCTACTGGTTAGTCCTGGTTAGTTCTACAGTCAGGTCTTTTCTTACCTCTCCCTCTCCGCTCCCGCTCTTTTCTGATTAGTCTAGAGGTCTCGGAGAGAATTCTCCCCGGTGTCTGTTTTGTTCCGCGGAGTTAAGAACTGGCCGTCTTCATAGACCTTCTGTAGCAAAATGTGTTCGAGCTAATGCTTGTCCGGGTACGAAGCGCTAGTTCACTAATTTATTACATGAATTAGTCAAATGTGCCAGCTCCATGTTCCACAGAGACATCTGAGATGACGGTGTTACGGTTTGCATGGATGCAGCAGCAAAGTCCAGTGAGCAAATGAGCAGTCCATCAAAACTATGGAGAACCGTGCTCTCTCTGCTTAGCACCTGCAGTACATCACGGTTAGGCCCTGGCATATGTTCATCATATTATTCACATATATTCACGTATTATGTCAACTGCAAGAGGCAATTCTGTCTCCTCCATTAGCATACCAGTGTATACACTTTATGTGTATTATTATTAATGATTATTATGTGCTCATCCAAAATGTTAAGTGTCATGCCATCAGCAAAACCAAGACTGTAATAGGCAGCCGATCCTCCTGATCTTTGAAAGTGCTTTGTAGCTACTTAGGATTCAGTCTGTGTCTGGATTTTGTCAAAGAAATGCAGCTCCCTCATAAAGTGATACATTTTCAGCGTTCAAGTCAGAACTGGAGGGATGTCCCATCTACCTCTGAAGTTTTATGGTTCTTTTTTTTTTTAATCGTTTTATTAAGAGCTCATACAACTCTTATCACAATCCATACATACATCAATTGTGTAAAGCACATTTGTACATTCTTTGCCCTCATCATTCTCAAAACATTTCCTCTCCACTTAAGCCCCCGGCATTAGGTCCTCATCTTCCCCCTCCCTCCCCGCTCCCCCCTCCCTCATGAGCCCTTGGTAGTTTATAAATTATGATTTTGTCATAACTTGCCCTGTCTGACAATTCTAGAAAAGAAATCTATTCAGGGTGACTCTTCACAGTTCTCCCACAGGAAACCTCAGGCCCTGCCCTGCCCTGATGTTCTGCACAAGATTCTTATCAATAAGCCACTGAAAGCCACAATGAGAGACTTTAAAATATATACTTTTAGGCAAAGAGGGTTTTTGTTTTTCATCTGAAAAGTTACTGAGAACTTTGACGAAGAGGCTGCTAGACCCATTTTAGAGCTCAGGCTAAACTTCGTACCCAGGTGATGAACTTTAGATGTCAGAAAGCCTGGTGTCTGTCCTTCAGTGTTCTGTAAATCAGCTTACCCTTTGAAACACTCGAGCCATCCCCTATTTGCTACCAAGTCACCACTACCACCTGTACGTGTTGCAGCGGTGGCTTTCAAAGCACTGAAAAGGCTCTCCGGCTCGTCGAATAAAATAAGGCTCAGTAAAAACTATATGCATAGGTTGGACCTACCTTACTGACCTAACTTCCCAGACACACTTGTTCCTAGTGGCCACAGAGCCCATTCCCACTCAGAAAGACCTATGGCCAGTCTTGTGCCAGCCTCCTAATTGGTCTGCTGTTTGAGCCCTTCTTTCAGCCACTGTGTCCATCCATTTTTTCGAGAACCTTCCTCTTTCTGCTGCCCCTCTACCTTACCCTGTCCTTTTCCAGGGACTGGGTTCTCCTGTCAACATATCCTTAGTAAGCCATTCCTGCCGAGTCTAAGGAGTACTCTGCCTGTGCGTGAAAAGCCTCAGGTTGGTTCTCCGAGGCGCCTTTCTAGTAGCATGAGGATCAGTAGGTCGGCACCACGGTAACCTAAGTTAGGTGGTGCTGGACAGCCCCGGAGCATGGCTTTCAGTCTGTGCTCATGAACCGAAGCTGTGTGGCCGGGGACCAAGCACGCCCGGTCTTTCCTGTAGAACTCCTCCTCGCTGTTATTGTGCACTTACACAACTTAGCCTCGCTAGCATTTTCATGTTGAATGAACGCAAAGGGTTTTGTTTAAAAATATGTACATTAAATTACAATTACCCAGAGAGAAGCAGTCTATGGGCTTGTGGGTGCAACGGTTTGTTTCAGTGATTAAAACAAACAAGCTCGCTGCCACGGAGTCGATGCCAGCCCATGCTGCCCCTGTAGCACAGGGTGGAATGCCCCTGGGTTTCCGGGACTGGGAGTCTTTAGTGGGAGGCGACAGCCTTGTCTTTGCCCTTGTCTCAGTGATAACCTGTCGTGATTTTGAGTGTTTGGCCAGTCACAGCACAGTTAAGAATTGGTCTCGGTGACAAGAGGCCGTGTTGCAGATAACACCCGGTGGATAAACACCAAAGTCAGGGCTGAAGTTACATTGTTATAGCTATCATAAATCTTGCATCTACTTTAAAATCTAGGGCATGTGGAACAGTCTTCCTCGAACATCCGGTCCCCTAAGAGATTTTTAAAGACTGGGAAGGAGAGAAAGAAAGGGGAGTGTGCTGGGGTGGGGAGGGCAGGGCTAATGAGAGTCAAAGCAGAAGTACATTTTGCTCCTTACCAGACTGCCTCCTAGGGCACATCTAAGCATCATCTCTACAGTTTGATACAAGTGAGATATTAAGATGTTTTTGCCTAATTTTTTAGTCTGCCCCAGTTAGTAAGACTCTAATAAGCTTAACATTAATTCAACTGACTATATAAAATAAGCACAATACATTTAGTTTTTACCCTTGGGGAATTTAATGTACTCAATTACAGCAAACAACAATAAAGTGTGAAAATAATATAAACCTACGATGCTAAGTATCTATGCCGTAGAGGGACCTCATCTAAGAAGTTCGAAAAGCCCTATTGGTAAGTATAGAATAATGCAGTAAATAAAATAGTATTGAATTAGTATCATCCAACAAAATTGATAATACATAGTCCTCTGATGGTTTCAATGTAATGCCAAGATATTTTCTAGATTCTCTATCAGTCTAGCACGCTCAATAATGGTTCTGAAATACTTGCTTATTTCCTTTTTTATTCATTCGATGATTAAGTTCCACCATCACCACCCATACTGACACTGATTTGAACGGATAAGATTTGGGAGATTTGTGTAAAATTTCACCTGATCTCACTGTTGGATACCATCAAGCCCATTTGGTGCCAAGCCCAAAGACCCTGCAGTGGGTTCTATCCATTCAGTGGACTGTCTCTTTACACAACTTCTTATTCATCCAAC